GAGGAGGGCAGCATTGTTGTTTTCTAAATGGGGAAACATTAGGAAAAGCTTGCCTTTGGGGGAAAGGAGAAGTGAAAACCCTAGTTTTGAGTGGATTGATTTTGAGGGCCTGTGAGACTAGCAAGTGGAAATGTCTGTATTCATCCATTGTGAATGAGCTCAGAAGTGAGGTTTCTGGGATGAAGATAAAGAGTTGGGAATGGTTGGCATGTAGCTGCTGGTTGAAGCCGTGTGAATGGTTATTGCCTGGAGCCAACAGAGAGGGGAGAGGGCCTTGGACAGCACCCAGAGAAAGCCAACAGCTGAAAGTGCCCCCTGGGGTTGGCAGTGTTGGGGCTCATCAGGGATGAAGTGGAGTAGAATCCAGAAGGGGCTGTTTTGAGGAGAGATGTAGAGGTGAGGGAGTAAAGACAAATCTTAGAGAATATTATGGAAAACTTCAAACATACTGTATTAGTTTCCTATTGCTGCTGTAACAAATTGCCATTAACTTAGTGGCTTAAACAATACAAATTTATTACAGTTCTGGAGGTCAGAAATCTGAGCTAAAATGAAGGTGGTGCAGGGCTGCGTTCTTCCCGGAGGCTTTAGTGGAGACTCTGTTTTCTTGCCTTTTAAGCTTCTACAGGCTGCCCGTGTTCCTTGGCTCCTGGCCCCCTTCCTCCATCTTCAGTGTTAACAAAGGCAAGTTGAGTCCTTCCCACATGGCGTCACTCTGATCTATGGTTCTGCTTCTGTCTCCCACTTCTAAGGATGCTTGTGATTACATTGGGCCCAACTGGATAATTCAGGGCAGTCCCCCTATTTTAAGGTCAATTGATTAGCAAATTCGATCTATCTACAACCTGATTTTCCCTTTGCCATGTAAGGTGATGTATGCACAAGTTCTGGGGATTAGGACATGGACATCTTTGGGAAACCATTGTTCTGCCTATGCATATACGTAGTCACGCGCTGCATAACAGTGTTTCAGTCAACAATGGACCACATATATGATGGTGGTCCCATAAGATTAGTACCATATAGCCTAGGTGTTTAGTAGGCTGTAACATCTACGTTTATGTAAGTACACTCTGTGATTACATAATGATGAAATCACCTAGCGATGCATTTCTCAAACCGTATCCCCATCATTAAGTGATATATGGCTGTATGTAAAAGTATAAACAGAATAGTGTAATGAGCCCCACATACCCACCACTCGGTTTCAACTACACAATTTTATCCCCACCCCCACTTCTCCCCATTGGATTATTTGAAACGAATCTTAGAAATCATCTGATTCATTTGTAAATGTTTCAGTATAGACAGTTGTTTAAAGAAGTTTAGCTGCAAAGGGGAGATGATAAAGATAAACTGGGGAGGTGTGTGGGAGAGTGTTTGTGTATGTATTTTTAATATGAGAGACACTTAACGCGTGTTAAATTCTGATGGGAAGGATATAACAGTGGAGGAGAGATCGTTCTTGGACAAGAGAGAGATCTCCATCATTAACAGAGGGAGGCACATAGGTTTGAAGGTTTGGGAGTGTGAAATTAAGGGAGTTCCTCTCTGCTGGTTTAATTTTTTTTTTTCCTCTATTGAATGGGAGGCCAGTGAGAGGGCAAAGGAGATGTTGAAGTTTTGAGGAGCTTGGGGAAAGTTGGAAATAGTCACTGTGGAGTGGAGAATGAGTGCACTAGAGAAATGTTGTTGGAGTGTGGGGCATGTTGAGGGCCGCTTGAATTTGGTGAATTCTAATGAATCCAGTCAGTTCAGTTGTGTGACTTTTTTCCCACCAGCATTGCACATCTGTCTGGATATATGATCAGAGAAGGTGAATGATTTGGTTCCTACTGGGTTATTTTTTTGCCATGTGGTGTGACCAAAGGACAGGATAAGGGTGTTTATAAGAGCAATTGAAATCACGATCCATGGACTCTAAGCTGAATAAGCAAGTGGAGGAGTGAGCGATTCCGGCGAGGTATAAGTGTAGCTGTGATGGGATGCTTAAGGAAACAGAGGCAGAGCCAAGCCTGGGCAGACTGTAGGGTGATGACCAGATCCAGGGTATGTCTTTGGGAGGAGGAGCTGGAGTGGAGTAGAATATAACAAAATGAAGTGGAATAAAAAACAGTTGGAAAAGAGGACATTGAGTTGCTGAGAGAGTAGGGTGTGGGAAGTCTCCTCCACATGGATATTGGAACCACCTAGGATGACGGCAGGAGGTAGGGTATAAGGGTAGCCCTTCTGTGATGGGGGGTCAGCCAAGACAAGGAGAAAGGAAGGAGTTTGTACAGTGCTGGGAGGCATGGGCTGCAGAAGGGCTGTTTTGGGTTTTTTTGTTGTTTTTGTTTTTTGTGAGGAGCACCAGCCCTGAGCTAACATCCATGCCAATCCTCCTCTTTTTTGCTGAGGAAGGCTGGCCCTGGGCTGACATCCATGCCCATCTTCCTCCAGTTTATGTGGGACGCCGCCACAGCATGGCTTGACAAGCATTGCGTCGGTGCGCGCCCGGGATCCAAACCGGTGAACCCCGGGTCGCCGCAGCGGAGTGCACGCACTTAACCGCTTGCGCCACCGGGCAGGCCCCAGGGCAGATGTTTTGACAAAGGGTGAAGGGGCAGTGGCCTGGCAGCAGCACTGAGGGCCAGGGCCCAGCCGACCTCCCCTCCTGACCCTTCCAGACCTCGTGTGTGCAGATGTTGTGCAAGAGAAGGAGCAAGCTTGACCTGAAGGGTGGCGAGGAAGCGTTGACCTCAGGGACGCCAGGATTCACTGAAGACGCTGTTAGCTCACTCTCTTCTTTCTCCGTGCTGTGGTGTGGGTGCTCCTTTCTCCATGCTGTGGTGTGGGTGCTCCCCCAACACTGCCTCCGGGGTCCCTGCCTCTCGTCCAAGGTGTTTCTCGTAAACACTGCTGCCTGGGTCACGGTCCTTAGTATGAGTCATCCCCCCAACGCCCCCTCCCATGGGAAAATATTAAGATGGGTAGAAAAAAGCAGACTCAGTGCAAGAATTCCCAAATAGCAAAAATCATGGATTAACTTGAATGTATGGCTACCTCATAAAGAAAGATTTAATGAGATCTGTCTCCATGTGCTATACTTTTATATCTTACGTTCCTCCTGGGCTCTAAGCCATATACTCTAATGTTGCTTCAAAAATGGCTATGAGTGTATTTAATACACATTATTTACATTGATTTACGACTGAGATTTAGCTTTAGTGAAAAGTTTTAGTGATTTTTGTCTGTATCATAAAATCCTGCTGTAATATAGCATTACTAAAAAATTCAGCATCATACATGGCGTCACATTATTGTGAAGGCAATGAAACTGCCCCCCCCCCCCCCCCGCCACAAAAATGTAGTGAAACTGTTATACACACAGACAACCACTGAACTCAGTCCCAGATGACGGGTAAAGGAATTTAGATTGGTGGAACAGTGTAACGGACTGTATTACGTTATGCTAAAGGGATGGAATGTGCTGTTTCTTCTGTGGTTGTGTTTGCTTAGAATTGGGTTATTTTGCGTTTAATGTTTGCTTGTTGACACGTGACCATTTTGACTGGTTCTCAGCCCACTTTTTGGCCATTTCTTCCTGAGACAGGAGATGCTAATTATATGAGTCCGGAATGAGTAGCAGCAGCAGGTTTATTTTTTATAAAACATAACAGTTTCTTTTTCTTTTTAAAATACCTGTCTCCCAAATCTTTGAGATTCTGTGAGCTGTCTTCCGTGATGGCCTGAGAACGTGAAAAGGATACAGAATGATGATGGAGCCACGGGTTCACGTGGGGCCGGATCCTACCCACCCCCTAAGCTACTTACCGTGTTGGACTGGTCTTTGGTCTCTTTTCCTGATCCAAGCAAACTCACCCGAGCCTTGGGGAGGAATGGTAATCAATGTGGTATTACCGGTGACCACTGTTAGTAAAGGGTTTTGTTCCACATGACTGCTCTGCATAGCATTTGATTAAGATTGTGGGCTCCTGAGTCTGACTCCAGGGTCCAAGTCCTACTTACTGACTGTGGTCCTTGGGCAGATTCTTAACCCTTCTGAGCCTTAAATTCCTGTCTGTGAAATGGGGATTTTAATAGTACTCACCATATAGAGCTGTTGTGAGAATGAATAGCAGCACAGTCCCTGGCACGCCCTGGGAGTGCCCAGTAACTGTTACTATTATTATCATGTTGGAGTGTTCAACTTGGGTCCACATGGCTTACCAATTGGATGCATTTGGGAATTGTTAGGTTTTAAATTGTATTTCTCTATTATTCACAATATTCCTTGGACATTTCACTTTCTCAGTAAGGCCTTCCCTGACCACCTTATGTAAAGCTGCGACTGTCTACCCTCTACTCGCCCCCCATGCCTCTTCTCCACCCCCTACTCCCCAGAGTCCTCATCCTCATATCCTGCTCTATTTTTCTCCACTGTACTTGTCACCTTCTAATATACTGTCCAATGTACTTTCTCTTTCTTTCAGACTGTCTTCATCCACTAAGATGCAGACTCCACAAGAGCAGGAATCCACGTCTGTTTTGTCCACTGGTCTATCGTCAGAGCCTAGAACAGTGCCTGGCACATAGTGGGGGCACGATAAATCTTTATCAGAATGAACAAATTGAGTTTGAAAGTGGTGATCTGATTCTGTACACCACCAAGTGTTACAGAAGCTGCTGCAGCTGTCTGAGCTTAAAATGTTTTATTCAGAAGTTCTTGGTGCTAGTTTGCTCCCTTGCCTGTCTCAGACCTCCTTTCCTAATAGGGGATAACTGAAGCCGGGTAGAACAGGTTTAAGGTGATAATTAAGTTGGATGAGGGGAGGAATAAGGCTGACACTGTTCACTCATCTACTGGTATACTTCTGACACCTGTTCTTTCAGCAGGACCCTCACCGAACACCTTGGCGACCAGGGGAGCTGCTTGTCTCATGGGTAGACTCTCTCAAGTATCATTTTGCTTTCTTGTCTATTTTGCACGCAATAGAACTTGTGTTATTTTTCTCTTTTAGGGCACCAATGCCTCTGCTCTGGAAAAAGACATTGGTCCAGAGCAGTTTCCAATCAATGAACACTACTTCGGATTGGTCAACGTAAGTATTTAAAAGTGTATTATTTCCACCAAATAATTTCAGAGTACTTGTAGCAACTCCACTGCCATTTTCATCCTTACGGATTTTTAAATAATTGTCCATGCTCCTTAGTTACTGGAAGTGGCAGATATTGGGGAGGGGGAAATGTGAGCCAGTTATTGAAAGTGTGAGTTGTCCCAGGTAAAAGGGTACAATTACTGCATTACTGGGTGAGATTCTCATTTTTCCCCCTGTGTTTTAAGGGATTTCCTTTGCACACATAACTTTCAGAGTCATTTTATTAGCCTTTGTAGCCAAATCTGCTTTTCTATGTTCTCCCTTTGTCATCTGGCTGAGCTCCTCAGGCAGCCTTTGTTTCAATGTGCATCAGGACAAGCAGAGTTTTAGAAGTGTTCCCAGCTCATCACCAGGAACCGTCTAACAGTGTAACTCGGTGGCGGGGAAGAGGGGCCCAAAGCAGGCGCAGGGTGTGGGGGAAAATCTGTGACCAGTTTATCCCAAAATTCCTTGGCCTCATTTCACCTGTGCTCAGCAATGGCTCCCTTGTATAGGGCCAGACTTAGCACGTTCTGCGTCCTGGATAAGTTGGTATGACCAGTTAGCAAGGCAGTATTACCCACCACCCTTGTGAGCTTTCTTCCTCACTTGATCCTTTCTCTCTGGGGTGGAGGTTTTAAGTGACATCAAGTGTTAACTCACAAGCACCTGGTTTTATGGAACAACTGCTCTGAGTCTGTCAGTGCCTAGGTGTGATAGGTAGTAATTTCCACTGGGGAAGCTGGAAATATTCTCTGTGAGTGAGTGCCATCTGTGAAAGAACACTGACTTTGAAGTAATCAGACCTACGTCTGAGTTCCGCCTATGCTATTCACTAGCTGTGTGATCTTGGGCAAGTTACTTGACCTCTCTGAGCCTCCATTTCCCCATCTGTAAAATGGACATCATAATGGTTTCTACCTCTTGGGTTATAGTGAAGAATCAATGAGAGCTCCTATTGAAGACCCTGACATGAGGCGAAGGTACTTTGTGGACACTCAGTGAATGTTATTTACTTTTCTTTCCCAGGAATTGTCCACTGGATCAGGGTCAAGTGTTAGTGAAGGGTGTCTGGGTAAAAGTGAAATGCTGAGTAAAAGAGAAAAGAATGGAAGAAGGAAGGATGAAGTGCTGAAATAGAGAGCATTGTGTTGATGAGATAATGACTTCTAATTTTAATACATTTTATTTTAGCCGTTGTGCACAGGCCTCTGCTTAAGCTCTATGAAGACAGTTATTCAAGTCATGGCACTTCTGCCCTGGCTAGGGAAAATACAAATGCAGACCATGGAGAAAAAAAGAATTAGGCCATTTCCTAGTTTGTGGAAGCATTGTGAGGTCTAAATTTATTAATAGCTTCGTTTATGTTCACTTCAAATGGTAATTCAGGAACGTTCCAGCTTCTCTTTAAAAAGAGGTTTGTCTCCTGTTACATAATTGTGTCAAAGTAGATTAAAATATGTAAAAATAGGAAATGTTCTATCTTAGCATACGTAGAAATGTCATGTTAAGTATGGCAGAGCATCTGTCTTGCTCTTGGGTACACGACACACCAGCCAACAGCCAGTCCTGAGAAGATGTTCATGTTCTATTTTAATCCTACACAGCATTTTGTAATCTTTGATGTTAATCTGGTTATTTCCTTAGATTCTTTTCCTTTTCATTTTAGTATGTATGAAAAATTCTAAAGTGATAGTCTCAGCTGTGTTTTTCCACGGAGTTGGTTTTACAGTCAGTTGAAAACCAGTGAGATGATGACTTTTGCCCTGTGTAATCAAATCTGAGTATCCGTGGTTTTTGAGAGGTACAGAATAGTACTGTGTGGGTCCTAATCTGATTGTAGGAGACCAGGGACTGAGTGGTATTGTGTTGGGACAATTGCCACCTTGGCAGAAACAGGATTGAGGGTAATTTTGGAGTTAGGAGGGGGGAGGCTGGTGGGATGACCTAAGGAGGGGCTTCTTTGCCTCCACTGCTCTGGAGTAAGGGAGGAGATGTGGTCTGAAGCCAGCGGGCAGGGGTGCTAGAATCTTGAAAGAGAAAAAGTAGAGCAAGCCCCCATGCAGTTAAGGCTGTTTCTGCTGAGCAAGTAGTTCCTAGTTCCTGGATTTCTTTCTGATTTGGGTTTTTATTTTTCCTGTCATAGGAGTTTTGATATGTTGCAATGTGGTGTCTTTTATTTCGCCAGCTGCTTTTCTGGGTCCCCATATTATGTCGATGTTTTTCTTCTGTTTTTTTAAGCACCAGAAGGTCTCATTAGATTTTTTTATTAAGGCAGAGTGTTTATTATCATTTTCGAGACTTTATGGGCTAGAGAGGCACCCGGCTTATGTAAACTCGTCTTCATTTCTCTGTTGACTGGATAGTCACTGGTGTCTAGAGTGGTTTACTAGTTTTCTGACGTGATAAGCGAGACTCTGATACAGGGATGTCGGGGCCGGTTCCTGGAGGGTGGCCTTCTCCCTCTCCCCACCCATTCCAGTGGCGGCATGTCCCCGGATCATGATTTGAACCATCCCTGTTATCCTTTGGCAGTTTGGAAACACTTGCTACTGTAACTCCGTGCTTCAGGCCTTGTACTTCTGCCGGCCGTTCCGGGAGAATGTGTTGGCTTATAAGGCCCAGCAAAAAAAGAAGGAAAACTTGTTGACGTGCCTGGCAGACCTTTTCCACAGCATTGCCACGCAGAAGAAGAAGGTTGGCGTGATCCCACCAAAGAAGTTCATTTCGAGGTTGAGGAAAGAGAATGGTGAGTGGTGTCGAGATAATGTGTTTAAGAGTCTGAAATAAAGGAGAATTGACAGTTCTGTGTATCCTCAAAATAAATCTTTTTTTTTTTTTGAAGAGAATACAGTATGGCCAACTACTCAAATAATGTTTTTTTTAAAGAAAAGATATTTCTCCTTTTCCACCCAATACACATAAAACAAAACTAGATAAAAAATATGCTTAAAAATTCAGATTTATCATCCCATTTTGGAATGGTCTTGTTGTTTGCTCCACACTGGGAGGAATTTTTTCTGGGTAGGATTATTATAAGAGGAAAAATTGCCCCAGACAGCCTTCTAAGCAGGACACTGATTGGAATAAACAGGTTGATGCAATAATTGAATAAAATAGTGCTATATTATAAACTTGTCATAAGTGATTAAAGTAAATGCATGTTATCTAATCAGAGCATCTGCTGTTTTAAAAATAAGACTTCTGAATTTTATTTGCCTAAGACAATTGAAGGATATTAAATTGATATCTTCATATGATAAAAATATCCTGCTGTCACCTAATTTTTTTCTGGTTTTTTGATCTTTTGAGGGGGAAGCAGTGGTAGAAACTAGGTTCTTCCAGAAGTTTTGCATTGGTAATTTTTATGACTATGGAAATATTTGATATGGCAACTTGTGTTATCCTAGATTTCAGCATTACTCCAGCAGACTTGCAGTTAATCAGATGTTTGTTTTATAAAGTCTTGTTTAATTTGATTGCTGTCTTTTAAAGTTGTTGTAGTTTATACATACTAGAATAAAAATACTCTGAGAAGGAAGCAGAGTACTCCCAAGTCTCGTTGTGAACATGATTAATAATGAAGTTTTACAGCTGCATTCATCTCTTGATTGTTTGTCCTTATGGCAGGGAACAGCAGTAGGCTTCTGGAATCATTTGTATTTGGTTTCAGAACACTATCAGATAGATACATTCTCTCATATATCCCTCATCTCCCGTGTGTGTTCCATTTAAGCTGCTTCCAGGCTGGTCCAGGGTTTAATATGGTCTTTGGGGAGAGACCCAGTTGCTCTGGATAAATTACAAAATGAATAATTGATCATCAGCGGTCACATCATATTAAATATTGATATTTTATCAGGGAACTTATCAAGTAATTTCTGTTATTTTTCTTTTTTTGTGGAACAAATAAAAAGTGGGTAGCTTTTTATTACACGTGATGACTTTACGGAGATATGGGAAATTTAGTCCTTGGTGGGTAGTAGAAAATGGAAATGAACAAAAATTCTTTTAAAACTTACCTACTGAAGATGAATACATTCCATATCTGTCCACTCTTTCAATGTAAAAATTGAAGTGTGGCAGGTAAAATTAAGCCTTTTCATTTGCTTTTCAAGAATCAGAGATTGAAATAATGACCTTTCTCCTTTCCAGATCTCTTTGATAACTACATGCAGCAGGATGCTCACGAATTTTTAAATTATTTGCTAAACACTATTGCGGACATCCTGCAGGAAGAGAAGAAACAGGAGAAACAAAACGGAAAATTAAAAAACGGCAACATGAACGAACCTGCGGAGAATAATAAGCCAGAACTCACCTGGGTCCATGAGATATTTCAGGGAACGCTCACCAATGAAACTCGATGCTTGAACTGTGAAACTGTAAGCATAAGGAGGGCTTTCATGGAATTGGCTTGTGCGTATTTGTACAGGCTGTGTTGTGAGTGAGTGCAATGTGGTGTTAGAGCACCTAGCAGTTGTCTTCAGTATCTGCCGACAGTTCCGTTTATGTAGCTGAACCTCAGATGTAGACTTTCAGAAGCATGTTTCCATCCAAGATGTCTCAGCTGGCTAAAAGTAGAGTGATGAGGGCAAATCTCAAAAGCTGGATTGCTTTGCACCATGGGCAAATTTTAGGGTCCACAAGTAGACTGTTGAACTGGACCTCTACCAGTTACCTTGAAAAGATTTTGGTCACAAGGAGATCCTATGTGACTTAGACCATCATGCCAACTTCAAGGGAATCAGCTATGGTGCGGTGAACTTGACTCAGAAGACAGGCCTGAGGTCTGATTCTGCAACGGTTAGCTGGGCGTTTGGGCGAGTCCTTTACAGCGCTGTTGTGAGGGTTGGGTGAGCTGTGTTTGGATGAGTCTGGCAAGTGAAGGTAGGCCCTTAGCGTTAGTTGACTTTGAAGGCACGTTCTCCAGAGCATGATTCAGGACATCACGTGTGCTTGGTATGTTCAATTTAACTCTCTGAGTGGCCTCATAATGTGGTAGTTAAAAGCCCAGTTCTACAGCCAGGCTGCCGGGTTTGTCTGCTGACTCTGCCAGTCAGTAGCTATGGGACCCTGTGCAGATTATGCAGTGTTTGTCTTCATGCTCCTCATCTGTAAATTGGGGATGATGAGAGTGCCTATCTCCTAGGGTTGCTGGGAGGATTAAATGAGTTAACACTTGGAAAGCACTTGGAACCATACTTGGCACATAGCAAGTATGCAATAAATGTCAGCTCTTATTTGTTGTGACTACTAACAAGATAGAAAGTCTATGGGTTCATCAGAGGTCTCAGAGTTTCTTGACAGCATATGAAAAATTCTGTAGGATTGTGCGTTTTTCTGGAGAGAGAGACTAGCTTTCTTCAGATTCTGCAAAGGGAGTGGGACCCAGAAGTGATTAAGAAATGTGGATTTAAGTGGGAGGCTTTTGTTTTTTGGCAGTCTTTCTTCTGTCCTTTTAAACAATTTTTTAATCAAAATTCTGATTTTTTCTTTCTAGTGACGATTAGAGAACATAGCTAAACTAAAAGAGACTAAAAGTTACCAGTAATCTCCCCACCCAGAGGTGACAAATTTGTAACATTTTCTAAAAATTGTGATTACATTAGCTCAGTGATAACCGCTTGAACATTTTGAAACATATCCTGCCAAAACATTTTCTACATGTACTTCTCTGTCTAGAGATCTCTCCTCCCTCCCTTTATCCTTCTGTCCCTTTATATGTCATATTCCAGTAAAATTCAAATGAGTGCAGAAGTAGAGAGAATAGTATAATAAATCCCTTACGTGTTTTACTTGGGGTCTATGATTGTTACCACATTGACCCATCCTGATCATCTCTCATTCCATGCCCTCTCCCTCCCTCACCAAACTGGTCTATTTTTAAGCAAATCCCAGGTAACATCATTTCATCTGTTGTTTCTTCATTACTTGGTTATATATCTCTAAAAGATAAGAAATTTTTTTTTTTTTTTTTTGTGAGGAGGACCAGCCCTGAGCTAACATCCAATGCCAATCCTCCTCTCTTTTTTTTTTGCTGAGGAAGACTGGCCCTGGGCTAACATCCATGCCCATCTTCCTCTACTTTATATGGGACGCCGCCACAGCATGGCTAACAAGCGGTGCGTCGGTGCGCACCCGGGATCCGAACCGGCGAACCCCGGGCCGCCGCAGCGGAACGTGCACACTTAACCGCTTGCGCCACCGGGCTGGCCCCAGGAAGTCTTTTTTTTTAAAGAACATAAGTACAATACCATTTGTAAATAAAAACATAAATACAATACCATTATCACACCTAAAAATAATTCCTTTAAATCATTATTCACTTTGTGTTCAAGTTTCTCTGATCGTGTCATATGTTTTTTTAGCAGTTGGTTAGTTCAAATCAGGATCCAGACATGGTCCATACATTGCATTTGGTCTGCAGTCTGTGTCATCATCTGTAGGGTACCATCCCTGCCACACACACACCCCCCCCCCCCCGTTTTTCCTTACAGTTTAGTTGAAGAAGTCAGGTTATTTGTCCTGTAGAATTTCTCACATTCTGGAAACATCCTGTGGTTGTGTTTAAACATTTTTATACATTGTTTATACATTTACGTATAGTAAAATGGCAGCATGTTTCTACCATTCTACTCCTTGTTTTTATTTAACCCACTTATTTTATATTCCTTTTTTCTCTCTTGCCTTCTTTTGTATCAATGAAATTTTTCTTTCTTTTTATTTTTGCACCTTTATATTGTTACTTTCAAATTCTTTCAGAGGTTATTCTAGAGACTACAATATGCATCCTTGACCTAGTTCTTTTTTTTTTTTTTTGGGTGAGGAAGATTGGCCCTGAGCTAACATCTGTTGCCAATCTTCCTCCTTTTGCTTGGGGAAAATTGTCTCTGAGCTAACATCCATGCAGTTGTCCTCTGTTCTTTATGTGGGATGCCACCACAGCATGGCTTGATGAGTGGCGCGCCGGTCCACGCCCGGGATCTGAACCCATGAACCCAGGGCCACCAAAGCGGAATGCACGAACCCAACCACTCTGCCACTGGGCCAGCCCTGGCTTAGTTCATTTTTTACCACTTTCCCAACAATGCTAGAACCTTTTGAACACTCTCTCTCCTTTTCCTTCTTTTGTGTTAGTGTTTTGTGATGAACTCATGAGTTTTAACGTTTCATGTGTTTTAATCCATTGGAGTTTTTTATTCTTTTTGATACTGAATTTATTTTTAGAATAACTGTGTACTTCCAAACATCAGAATTAGGGCTATATTGTAAATATTATAATTGGCAGATTTGAGGTCTTTTTTCTTTCTTTCTCTCTTTTAATAAGGGAGTGTTCCTTGGCACCATCCTCACCTTCCCTCTTGTATCTATCCCATCACCAAGTCGTGTTGTGTCTCTCTTTAATCCATTTACCTCTCTCGGTCCCTGCTGCTCCCACCCCAGCTCAGGACACCCATCAGCTCTTGACTGGCAGTCTCAACTACACTATTGCAGTAACTTCCTTCTGGATCGTCTGTTTTTCCTCTTGCCCTCCTCCCTGTTACTGTCTTGCTTAAAAGTATAGCAGTAGCCTCCAATTTCTTTCTTTTCTTTGGAAGAGTTTCTATAAGTTTTGATCTATCCATTCTTTGAACGTTTGAACTCACCACCTATCTTTGCATCCCTAAAATATATAGTTCATTTTGGCGTGTTGGTGGTCTTCATATGAATAGAATCATGCAATAGTTATTCTTTTGTTTCCTATTTTTTTGCTAAATATCCCTTGTAAGATTCATTTGTGTTGTTGCTTGATGCTTTAGTTTATTCATTTTCATTGCCATATAGTATTCCATTGCTTGAATATACCACAATTCACTAATCCATTTTACTGTTGGTGGATATTTGGTTGTTTCCAGTTTTGGGCAACTATGAACAATGCTGCTGTGAACATTCTAATACGTATAATCTGGTGTACATAAATCCAGTTTCTCTAGGATATATACGTAGAGGTAGATTTGTTAGGTCATATGGTATGCCTGTCATTAACTTCATTAGAAGATATCAAATTCCCAAAATAATTGTACCATTTTACACATCCAGTGTATGAGCATTCTCACGTCTCCACGTTCTTGTCTATACCCGCTGTTCTCAGATGTCTTTACTTCAGGTAATATAGTAGCTGTATAGACGAGTATTTTATTCAGTAAATATGCTTGTTTTTTTTTTTTTTCCCCACATCTGCTATGTAAAGGTATAGACACTGAGGATACAGTGAGAGCTTTGCCTTCCTGGAACTTTCTGCATTGCAAGACAGACATCAGTAACAAAGTGAATAGTTAGTTTTGTAATTTCAACTGCAAAATGCTGTGAGGGAGAAGTACAAAGTGCTCTCTGAGCTTATGATACAGGAACCGGAACAATGGGGCATCCCATTTCTGCATTTAGCTGAGACATTTGCACCAGACTGTACAGCTGGTCTAATCCTTTTGGTTATCTTTGAAATTAACACAATTACCAAATCCATCTTGTGGTACCCTGTGTGAATTTTCAGGAAGGCTCACATGATAGGCTCAGTCACATGTGTAGTTTCTTTTTTATCTATGAACAAGTCAGTTCATACGAACAAATGGAGATATTGCATCCTCAAGTATGTGTATTGCAGAAGCTATTCCCTAGCCAGTTATTTCCTGGGGGGTAACAATGGGTGGGAAGCCTGTGCCCGAAGATTCCTCCAAAGCCTTTGGATGATGCCGTAGAGTTTGTTATGATGGGATTCCAATCGTTTACTCTTGGTTTGTGGAAGTAAATGAGAGTGTATGGATGTGTCTTTGTGGAGGATGACGTACTCTGGAAAAACCTATATTTTTTGTCCCCTGAAATGATTAGATTTGAGGCAAGAGTGTTTTTTTCCTCTGGAGTCACTTGGATAATCACCTCCGTTTTCTTAGATCCTTTAACTGGATGGGATCCTAGGAGTCATCTAATCCTTTCTCTACTGGTGCCCTAGTCCCTTCTATGACGTCTTAGCCAGTTGGTCACCAGCATCTGCTGGACCCTGTCCAGAGATAGGGAACTCAATCTCCCCAGGCGATGCATTCCATTTTTAGAAAGCTCAAATTGTTAGAAAGCCCTCTACTTTCTAAGAAAATACCTAGCCTGCAGCCTTTTTTTTGTTACTGTAAAGTGTTGAGGACTTAGTGTCAACACAGACCTCACGTTAAAAGTTTTCTTTTACAGGATGAGAAATATGGGGCCCCCTTTGAGTAATGTCCACTGCCCAGGGCAAGAAGCCTTTAGACGGTGCTTTACTCAGAATTGCCAAGACCCACATTTGTGAAATCTCACAGTGGGATTATACTGCGCTAGATCCTGAGCAGCAAATTAGCCCCTGGGGGAGCCTTGC